TATATATATATTTATATAGATATAGTACAACTGCAAACTCCTAGATTATGACGAATAGAGACAAAAGAATTACAGTTTGATTCACAGAGAAGGCGTCTCTGGCAGTGAGGATGGTTACACTAAACACATGCTGACCTCTGCTGGTCAGGACGGTGAACTACGACTCTCTAAGTGACAGCAGCTGCTCTCTTGTGCACAAGGTTTATGTGCAATCAACGACTCTGTCAAGGCAGGGACATTCGCATGTTGCACATTTGCCAAGACATACGCTGACTTCTTTATATTTATGGATATCTGCCTGTATCTGGTTTGGTTTTTTAAAGAGCGTTTAAACTACTATCATGAACTCTGTAATAGTCAGGCAAGGTTAAAGCTGTCTTTGCTACCTGTGGTGATGAGGTTTAATGCGGCGGGGACTCCGATGAGCCTTGGCAGTCGTTGTGTTCCCCCTGCAGCTGGCAACAGACCCAGAGTCACCTCTGGAAGCCCCAGTCTGGCCTGAAAGGACACAAAGGCATACAGTTTGATGAATTATAGATGCTGAACAGCGTTGGGTTTGCTTTACAGTAAATACATTACACAGATTATTACATGGCCTAAAAGGGTGAAAAACATTCTCTCTGTGTTTTTCTTAATCGACCAAACAAAAATGAACAATAACAATTCAATGAACGGTCACTCTGTAAGATGTGAGACAACGCTGTCAGTTAAGACATTGATGCAGCTCGACACTGACATTAGAGAGACGCTGACAGAGAGAGACAGAAAGAGATCCAAAGTATGAACTAACTTTAGAGTGAGCAATTCGATAATGACAGCCAAGTGCTAACTCAAGGCCTCCGCCTAAAGCGCTTCCCTCTATGGCTGCCACCACCGGCTTGTTCGCCGCCTCGATGGCGTGGATCATCGGTACCAGCGGAGGTCCGGACATGTCTGACGCAAACTCCCTGATGTCGGCTCCTGTTACACAAAAAGAAATGAATGATGTGAGCAGGAAATTCCAACAGAAAGACAGAAACGACATACTGATATGAGGTGCATCTGGTTACACGTCGACACACACGAGGAGGAAGAAATAAATCGTATTAAGTTTATCAAATAACACAGTTGTAGTTGTTATTTAATACAGATAAACTATTGAAGAATATTTATACGAGGCTCCTGGTTTACTTTTGATTCTGTCCTAATATGGTTCCTGCTCTCATCAGCACAGGTGAAGCTATTTTTGTGAATGCTGAGCGTGCAGCTTTTCTATGTGTTCTTGATAAAATCCAGCTCCAGTTTATATGAAACAACAACAGTAATACCCTCCTTTATTTATTCTCTCCGCCTCCAGGCTAAAGTTGATCAAATCAACATAAATTATAACTTTAAAATCTATTAAATCTGCTTTTCTTCCACAATGCGCTGCTTTTACGCATCTTAAATACTTTTATACAGGAACTGGAAAATTAAAAAAAGAAAAACGTCCTCACCTCCACAGAATATTCCATTCTGGCCACAGATGACCACCGACTTCACCTTCGGCTCACTGAGTGCTCTCTTCACCGTGTCAACGATGCCATGCCTCACCGCTGCACTGTATAAAAGAAACACAAACATTTTTACATGATACTGGATGTACAATATTAATAAGTTTATCCTTTAAATTATTATGAGCTAGGCTTAAGGGACAGTACAGACCGTTCTGCTACAGCCTACATACATTTATATATAAAATTATATTTAGATATGAGAGAAAAATAAATGGTACCCAACATAAAAAAAGCTTTAGAATATATTTTATTGCATTATTTCTATGTGACGTTCTGAACATGGCAAATAATTACACCTCTGCTTATTTTCTGTGCTTCCACCCTTCACTGTCACAACCACTTTAGATGAATTCATCTTAAATAAAAGGCAGTGAAAAGTGCACGGTGGCATCTTAAATTCAGCAGATGTGCATTATTTAGAATACGACATACATTATATATGGAACAGGTTTCTGTAAAATGTGGCAGTGGTGGCCTAAATAGCACAGCAAGCAGGATGAATCTTTGTGAGAAATCTGTGTACTCCAGTAGTGCTGCTCATTCACCAGCAGATCAGGCTTTGTTTGTAAAAGTCCTGCATTCAAAATGTTACTTAAATAAAAGATACAGAAGTATTATCAGCTAAATATACCTAAAGTATTAAAAGTATTCACTGTGCAGCACCATGGCCCCTGTGAAAGTCATAATACCAGTAGGAGACTTTATTATTATTAATCTCTGGGTAAGGAACAACATTAAGTGGCTGTTGATCAAGGTTGAGCTTATTTTAACTACTTTATGCACTATTAATTTACAACAATGCACCATATTTTAGGATCTCTTTTAATGTAAAATCTTAACCTGCAAAGTGCAATATTTCTCTCTGCAATGTAGTGGGGTGGAAGTATAAAGTCATATAATGAGAAAATACTCACGTTACAAGTACCTCAATATCATACTTAAGTACAATGCTTGAATAAACCTGATAGTTATCTTCCACCTTTGATTTAACTCTTTTTGCATCTTGTGCTGACAGTGAAGTAATTCCCTTAAGCACACAAACTTGTCATGTGCACCTTTACTTGTGCAAGTTTGTCCTTGGGCCTCTAATGCTTCTATAAAAGACCAATCTTGCACCAGTCTTCCCTCAAGATATAAAAACACTTGAGTGGACTCTGCAGCCTTGTTTTCGACTTCAGCTCACCTGAGTGCGTTGACAGGCGGATTCTTGAGAGTAATCAAGCCAACAGAGCCCGAAACGCAAGAATACTGAGCCATTGAGCCTGCCGAGCAAACACTGCGAGCTATCACACTTGTTGTTGGTGTGCAGAGTGAACTTTGTAACGTCCCTCCTGCTGGCAGGACTTACACTGCCCTTTAACACACTTTATTTACGCCATGAAGCCACGTCTTCCTCGTCGTCTTGGTGATTGTGTTCCAGTGGCGGTTGGTTAGCAACCACCGTTAGCAACCACTAGCGCACCCGTCTGGCCTGGAGCCGATCAGAAAACTACATTCTCTCTCTTTTTATGTTTCTATTATGTCTCTTTTAATACGACGTTACATATATTATGTAAAATAGAATGTAAATAACTATCTACTAATATATACATGTTTTAAATTAAATATAACAATAGCCACAAATCTGTGAGGTTGTGACGTCACTGCAGCCGTTGCCATGGATCCGCATAAAAAAATGATACTATTTGTATTTGTTTACAATCTACAGAACACTTGATTTGTATGAACATATATACATATATATATATAGTATTATAAGTACTATATTATGTATATATGTATTGTTAACTTTAATATTTATTTTTAATTTTAGTTTAATGTATGTTTAATGTATGTTTAATGTATCTATCTATCTATCTATCTATCTATCTATCTATCTATCTATCTATCTATCTATCTATCTATTGGAAAAGCTTTCATGTCACCTTCATCAGGTTACACAGTATCTGTGAAATCAGTGAAAATAAGTTATATATATACTTCATGTGTAAGTTTTTTACCTTGTGTTTTATTTAAAAACTTGCTATCTTATATACAATGTTATTTATTTATATTCCTTTTCTTTTATTATGTGTGCTTATTGTTGTTGATATTGGTGGTTCAAAATGATCATTTTTCAATGTATCGACATATTTGTACAATTTATTGCAATATTTGTACTTCTGAAATTCGATCAATAAAGTATTAATACCACTGCAGAGAGAGATTCACACAGCGCTGTGCACAAAACCAATTTACAGCCTATAGCTCTTCCAGAGATTTCCTTACGCGACAGTATTTACAGTTGAACATGAAAAGAAATAAATGAATAAAGAGCGAGCTGTTAAATGTGATAAAAATAATATATGTCACATTACAATTTCATTCATTTATTATTAAGTTGAAGTCTTGGTCCGAATCCAGAAAACATGTTTTTAGACTTTCTGGGAAAATTGCAGTCTTTCCATAATATATATTTCATGTACCTGTATCCATTAATGGTGGGTGGCTCTGATTTTAGCACTTCATTATGACAGCCTTTTTACTTGTATTAAGTATTTGTACTAATTTCTTATCATTGTTATTCCATCCTTCAAATGAGATGTCACCCATGCACTCCCACACCTACAAACACATTATTAATGTTTATTAATGTATGCCAATAGGACGTATTTACCCAGTATATGTTTATTTTTTATCTATGTTTGTTCAGCTTTGTTGTCCTTGTTTTAGCTGTATGTGAGTCTAATTGTCTGTGTAGTCTTTGGCTGACAAAGCTGATTCTAATTTAGCTAAAGCAGTAAAGCAGGTTTAACATGTAATCAAAAAAAAACAACAAACTGTGGCAAGAAAGATGGGACAGCGAGGGGAAAGGGAGGCAACTTTATTAAATCCAAATGAGTGTTAAAGGTAGGGTAGGCAGTGGAGAGAGTGGACAGGTAGGGTTAAGATTGGGGTACTGAAAATGCCCCAAAACTTTGAAAATGGTAGGAAAACATTAGACAGACATTATGCGAGGAAGAAGAGTCAGTGGAGCCTGTGGTTTTGAGCTGTAGGTTTAGGACAGAAAAAGAGATGATGAGGAAACTGAGGAAATTAGGGGTGCAGGAATTCACATTAAAAACATTACTAAGTACGGGTGAGAGAGCACAGTTTGGGGCAGTGGTTCCCAACTTGGGGGTAAGGACCCCCACTAGGGGGTTGCCAAAGCTTCATGGGGGGTCATGAGACCTTCTTGACTTTTATGCATTTAGAAAAACTTAAAAAGTTTGCAGTTACAACGTGAATTTGTCAAAAAAAAAAAAAACAGCTTTTTAAGTATTTATGATTGTTAATTTTTTAATATAAAAACATAATACAGACACAAAATTGTATAAAAAGTTCCTAAAAATGTCACTATTATATATTAAATATTCACAGGAAATTATCTGCTTAAAATGAATTGAAACTTCCAGCATTTGTTGTATTATTATCATTGTACAGTTCATTGCACGGTGTGTATTGTTGTAT